CTCAGGCAATCCACTCACCTCAGCCTCCCAAAGTGCAGGATTACAGGCTGAGCCACCGAGCTAGGCTGAGACAAGTTTTCTGTGCCCTGCTCCCCAACACACACACCCAACATATAAAGCGGAACAAAAACAGGAAGACAGCAATACACAACCCCGTTCAGAAGGAATGGGAGACACACCGTAGTTTCTGGTTTGCAATAATTCCAAAATCCCAATAGGCAGATGTTGAGAACTCCCATCTCTCCTTGGGAGTGGAACTGCTTCCTGACAATAGTTCCCTAGTTCATTCTTCTCCATGTTCTTGGCTCTGACCTTAGAGTAGATTATCCTTTTCTATATATTCACCTTGGTCACATTTGAGAAGATATTGGAGGTTATGCTTTTCTGAGATAGAGTAGCTTCCTCAGTCTCCTTCATGCCCATAGAAATTTGACGACCCAAAGGTGATAGTAAGTTTTGAGCACTCAAATTCCAAGCTGGTGGCTTTTGGCAGCAGGAGGCAGAGCAGTACAATTCTTTTCTTTTCTTTTTTGAGTTGGCATCTCACTCTGCCACCCAGGCTGGAGTGCAGTGGCACACTCACAGCCACTGCAGCCTTGACCTGCTGGACTCAGGTCATCCTTCCGCCTCAGCCTTCCAAGTAGCTGGAACTACAGGCACACACCACTACATTCAGCTAATTAAAAAAAAAAAATTTTTTTTTTGAGTTGGAGTCTCACTCTGTCACCCAGACTGGTGTGCAGTAACCGCTCACGGCCACCCCAGCGTCAACCTGCTGGGTTCAAGCAATCCTTCCACCTCAGCCTTCCAAGTAGGTGGAAATACAGGTCCACACTACCACACCTGGCTAATTTTTTGATTTATTGTAAAGATGAGGTCTCTCCAAGTTGCCCAGGCTGACCAATTATTTTCTGAATCATCTCTTTTTTTTTTCTAGTAACTTGTAAAATGCCCTCAATAGCAACTATGGCATACTACTAGTATTCTCATTTCCAAATTTTTTGCCTAAAGTCCCAAGCTCATTTGGTCATTATTATATTTTTAGTTATTCCCAGTTTACAGTTACAAGTGTTTTTCCAGTGCATGACATGTGCCACCATCTTTTCAACTTTCAATGTTGCTCCCTCACCAGCCACTGTCCAGCTCAAAGCCAATGCCACATAGTTTAAGCAATCCTCCTTCCTCGACCTCCCAAAGTGAGTTTAGGCTTATTTTTTATTATAGCAGAACGCCACTTCTAAGTACTAATTCCATAATGTTTGCTTAAACTAATTATGATGTGCTTACAATGGTTCACTGAAGAGGAGATTTATTTCTCACACTATGCATCATTTTACAGTTAGGCTATAGCCTCATGTCATTTTCATTCTGGGTTCCAGGCTGAAAGAGAAGTCTAGATCTGGGATTGCCAGGCTGACAGCAGAGGAAAAAGAGAAAGGAAATTGCTGGATTACTCAATGCTGCTTTAAAATTCTATAGAGGCTGGGCATGGTGGCTCAGCCTGTAATCCTAGTACTTTAGGAGGCCAAGGCGAGAGGATTGCTTGAGCCTGAGGGTTTAATACAAGCCTGGGCAACTGGTGAAACTTTCTGTCTCTACAATAAATCACAAAAACTAGCCAGTCATGATGGTGTGCATCTGTAGTTCCAGCTACTAGGAAGGCTGAGCTGGAAGGATTGCCTAAGCCCAGCAGGTCGAGGCTGCAGTGGCCGTGAGTGTGCCATCACACTCCAGCCTGGGCAGCAAGAATAAGACTCCAACTAAAAAAAAAAATGTAGAAATGGCTAGGTGCAGTGGCTCAAGCCTGCAATCCCAGCACTTTGGGAAGCCAAGGTGGATGGATTGCTTGAGCCCATGAATTCAAGACTGGCCTAGACAACATAGCGAAAACTCATCTCAACAAAAAATTAAAAAATTAGCTGGGTGTGGTAGCACACACCTATAGTCCCAGTTACTCAGGAGGCTGAGGCAGAAGGATCTCCTGAGTCCAGGAGGATGAGGCTGCCACCTCCACCTGCCTGGACAACAGAGTGAGACCCCAACTCAATAAAAACCCACAAAAAAACAATTTATGTGGAAGTTGTACTTTATGTTTCTATTCATATTCCATTGGCTAAAGAAAGTTTTACAGCCAAGCTTACTGCAAGCAGGGCATGAATGTATAATGCTTTTATATTGAGGGGCCCAGTAGGGAAGGACAGTAAATATCTAGAACAATAATACAATTGACCACAGGGCTGTGCCAGAGATGTCAATGGCTAAGCTCATCCACTTCTCCCTCCACCACATACACACTCTGCTGCAGCATTTTGTGCCAACAAGGGTAAAAGTTTTGTCTCAAGGACAGACAATCCTAGGCAGGTCAATGCAGTCTGACCTGGGGAGTAGACCAGACCAATTTTTGTTGTTGGATATTTGAACCATGACAAAGTGAATGAATGAGCTGCAGTTTAAAGGTTGTGGTGGATTTGGGAAAGTCACAACTAATCAAGGCCCTGTTCCCTGACAGCTAGACTGACAGTAGCCAAGCCAGGATTTCTTTCTTTTCCTTTTTCTTTTTCTTTTTTCTTTTTTTTTTTTGAGTTGGAGTCTCACTCCGTTGCCCAGGCTGGAGTACAGTAGCATGCTCACAGCCACCCCAGTATCTACCCGCTCAGCCTTCCAAGTAGCAGGAACTACAGGCACACACTACCGCCCAGCTAAATGTTCATTTATTGTAGAGAGGAGGTCTCATCAAGCTGCCCGGGGTGGTCTCGAACTCGCGGGCTCAGGTAATCCACTCGCCTCGGCCTCCCAAAGTGCTGGGATTACAGGCTGAGCCACCAAGCCCGGCTAGCCAGGATTTCAATGCAAAAATCTGCCCTTAGCCCCTCACTCAGGTCAGTTTCACGCAGGGAAGAGGTAGACACAGGGGAGCCTGTGAAACCTCCATTTTATGAGTCACTTTGTCTACTTGCTAATAGATCTGTTCCACACTTGTTACTCACCTCCTGCTCAAAAACCTTCCAGGGTCCCAACAGCCCATAAGAAAAGTTCAAACAATTGAGCCTGATATCTGAAGCCCCACCTGGCCATCTAGCGTCCTCTTCCAGAAGGTTCTGTAGGGTTTCCTGGGTAAGACAGGCAAGCTGCCTTTCAAGGGCGGCGCTGTCCAGCATGGCCAAGAAGAAATTTCTTGCACAGTTGCACATGGATACGGCAGCTGCACAGATGTGGCATAGTGGATGCGGAAAGTTTCTATCAGATCCCAGTGGGTGGCACGGATCTTGCGATTTTACTCTGAAGGCAGAGAGGTGAGAGAGTGGATAAAGGTGACCAACAGGACAGGATTCTGCTGGAGATACAGGTTGCAGAGGTAAGAGATGGAGAATCAGGGAAGTTCAGAGGCCCCGTGTCCAAATCAGTCTTGAATTGGGGCAGGATCAGCCCGGTCCCGCAGCTTTCCCCTCAGGTGGACTCTAGATTGTGTTTGCCCATTCCTGAGAATGTGCACCTGTTTCCTATAAAGCTCACCTCGCACTACCCTGGCCGCTCCCTCCTCAAGCACACGGCCCTCCGGCGTCTTTTGGAGTTGTTTAACCATGCCCCTTGCGTTCGGTAATCCAGCCACTTTTGGGTGAGTCTGTGACTCGCTGAGGCTCCGCCCACATCAGCTTTCTAGACCTAAGTGCTGTTTGATATTGGGGTGAGGGTGTCTCTCCCCAGGACGCCCTACAAACCAATCCCGAAGTTCTTCGGAGACATTTAGGTCCGCTGGCCAATCATTTTCCAGTTGCAACTAAGCCACGCCCCGCACACTGCATGCCCGGCTGCCGGCGACCTGGGACTGGTGCCGACTTGCTGCGCATTCTGCACTCCAGGGTCACCGGGAGGCGCTGCAGGCAGTTGTACAGCGGCGGGTGGAAGCAGAGCAGGAGGGGGTGGACTAGGCCTGGTCCTTGGTCCCAACTCCGCCCTCCTGCCCCTCCCCGAACTCAGGTCCATTAGACGGTCCAGAGTGCACCAGCGAAGTCACGTTCAGCCCTTCTGCGGCTCCTGTCACACATGCGTGGCGGCGCAGGACTGAGCTTGACGGACTGGGCAGCCAGGAGCAGCAGGGGCCTGTAGGATGAAAGTGGGATGGGATTGGGCGGCTAGAACGTTGCCCCCGGATTTTGGAGATGGAAACCAGGAGACACCCCATTCCAGGCGTAGAAGCCACGAGCCGACTTACCATCTGAAGCCAGGTTTCCTGAAAGGAGCCACATTCACTCTAGAAATTGGGCATCAGGACTAGAAACCCTTAGAAATTTAGCCAGCGCTAGGATCTCAAGTGCCTTTTGGAAGAAACCAGGGGTCAGGCTCTTCTGCTTCCATTATCTGTTTCAACCAGATAACCCCTTAGCCACCATGTGTACGAATTCCAGATCACTGACTCTGTGCTGAACTCTTACATAAAGGCAAAGCCTTTTTCTGAACACAGGGCCTAGCCTGTTGGTGCTTCTGCCTGGCAACCTCTTCCCCTGCTTCTTCCCATAACTGGCTTCTCCTCACTTAACATTCTACTCAAATAGATGTCACCGCCTGAGACCAGACCTTCCCCAACCACTGTATCCAAAATGACAGGCTCAATTACTCAATTCCTTTTTCATGGTGTCTCTTCCTGTTAGTCTCAGGAATGCATACTGATGACTCCCGCCCCCGCCTGTCTCACCTGTGTCCCAGCCTGTTCTGGTCAGCCTCGCTGCTTCAGGTACAGGTTGGTAACGGTGGTCTTTCCCCAGGGACAGTACAGTACTGAGCCGGGAGCCAGATGTGGATGTTACCCCTCCCCACCCACCCATTCCTGTGGGAGGGTAGACGGGCAGAGCCAGTCTTCTGTGGTCTCAACACCTAGGGCAGTCTGACCTGAGCCTGCCAGGATTGGGCCTGGCCCCAGTGATTCCAGGAGGAGGGGAGGCTGGATAGCCGGAAGCCCTGGGCCAGCCCTTCCAGGAACACAAATGTGCAGGGGTCTCCAATCTTTTTGTTTTGTTTTGTTTTAATTTTTTACAAAACCATGTGTCCCACCCAAACAGGACATTGCAGGCCTTCCTCCAGGCATTGTGGCCTGAAGGGGGAGGCCTCCATGAATGAGCAGCTGCCAACCCCAGAAGAACTGTGTGCCCCTCTGCACAGGGGCCAGTGTGAGGAAGGGGGTCCAGCTGGAGGCTCGGCCCTGTCCCCACAGCTGCAGGGAGAGAAGGCCAGGCCCTGAGTCCCTGGTGCTCCCAGTGCCTGCAAGGGAAGGAGGAAGAAGAGGGTCTGAGGGGAGGAGGGAAGGCTGGGGGCAGGGATGAGGCAGGCCAGAAGGCAAGCCCACGATATCTCACCGAAAATGAGCGACGTTATCCAACCACTGTGGTGACGCCAATGATGACCGCTAGGAGAAGGACAGTGATGGACACACAGATGGCAATCATGACTTTCTTCTGTGGGAGAGAAGGGGGTCAGAGAAAGCCACTCAGGATGCCTGGGGCTGGAGCCGGGCCTGGGAGGCTCACCTTCCTCGCCTTCTTCTGGTTCTCCAGGGTTATCTTGACATGTTCCTGCCCACGTTCCACATAGTCTGCTGAGCTCAGGATGTTCTTCTCTATCCGGTTGATCATCTCCCCCTGCTCAGACAATGGGGAGGTTCAGTGAGGAAGGGATGACTGCGGGAGACCCAGCAGCTCCTTTCCCCACCCCAGCCTCAAATGACTGAAGGGCTTTCCTGGCAGAGAAAAACCAAAACAAAAACCAAAAAAACCCTGGACTAGCAAAGACAGAGGCAGAACCAGATCTGACAAAAGTTTAGACACCCGAGGTTGGCTGCTGACCCCTTTTAGCATGTGGTCCCTTCTCTCGTTCCCTTGCCCCTAGAACCTCTATCTGCCGCGGTAGCCTGGAGCTAAGTGCCTCAGCCAGCTCATACCTTCCACAGATGGTAAACTGCTGTCTCTTCAGAAATCTGTCTGAATTTACCCATTCTTCTAGGCCTTTCTCCCAGCTGCTGTGTGGCCCTCCCTATCCCTGCCTCCTCCTGGCACCACCAGCCTCAGGTCCTGGTACTCCTACCGAATGAGATCCCTTCCTCTGAACTCCCAGCTGCGAAAGAGCATCAGCTGTAGCATGACTAAGTTCAGCTCCTCCAGGGCAGGGTTGGAAGCTCACCTCAACCCATACAACCAGGGTCAGGGGCTCTCCACCTCCCCCCCGCACCTTGTACAGATTTTAGAAGGCAGGCCCTTTACGGCCTGGACTGGAGCTCTGAAACTTTGACTGAAGCTCTGAAAGATATAAGGGTGGATTTTGTTGATGGAGGAGGAGCCAGTGTTGGGTAGACCTGGCAGGCTCAAGTCAAAGGGGCAGGGTAGATTGCTGTGTATAAAGGAATGGCCATCGGGGTGGCTGTGGAGGTGGGCACAATTCTGGGAGTATGGCTAAGGATGGAAATAAGGGCCAATCTGGGGCCATGGCCAAGCCTGGAAGAGCACAAAAGCCTCAGAGAGTATCTAAGGGTGGAGGCAGGCTGACAGTCACAGGTGGCAGCTCTGAATGAGCATGACCTCACATCATAGGGTTTCCCGGGCACCCACCTGCATCTCCACCTCGGTAGCCAGAAAAGTGAAGATCTCATGAAGTTCACGAATACTGCGCTCAAGCTGCTGGATCTCACTGTGCCGGGCTGAGATCTCATTTAGGGCCTGTCGAGTCACCTGGGTGTCCTTCAGTATCTGGGGGGTAGACAGGAAACAGTTCAGAGGGAGATCAGCAGTGGGTCAGAAGTTCCTGCTGAACTTCTGGGGCAGCCCTCTGGCCTGGAACCTGATGAGTGACTCCAGACATGCAAATTAATTCCCTTTGAGCCTCAGTATGCCCTCGGTCAGAAGGGACTAGGCTCAGAGAGGATGGGAGGCACAGCAGAGGGAGGCTGTCTGTGGCCACTCACATTGGACACAAACACCTCGCTCTGCCCGCTGTCCAGCATCTGCTCCAACTCCTCATCAGACACCATCCCAGCATTGGCTGTGAAGGAAAAGGCCAGGCTCAGAGCTGGGTCAGGGCTACCTGACCCTGCAGGGCGGGCACCACCACTCACTGATCTTCAGTTGCCTCCGAATTCGCTCCACGTTCTTCTCCCGGTATTCTGACTGCATTGAATTGCACTTGTTGATGAGCTCCACAAATTGCTGGGACAGGACTCCATGCTAAAGATAGAGAAAATAGTCTGGACATCCCTGGAAGGATCCCTGCCTGGTCTGGGCCTTGGCATCTCCACAGTATTGTGAGGAAATAGCATGGCTGTTATGAGGTACCTGCCACCCTAACCACCTTGTGATGACCTTGACAGGCTTCCCCCTTTCTCTTGGAGTAAAAGTCAAAGCCATTATTGAGCCCTACATAGCTCTACATGATCTGCTCCTTTGCCCATGATCTCTCTGACCTTACAGTTCACCCACTGTTCCCTCTCTCCCTCCATCCCCAGCACTCTCCTTACTTCTCTCTGAACAGAACACACTCCCACCTCAGGGCTCTGTATCCACTGCTTCCTCTGAGTCAATGAGCTAGAATGCTTATTACACACAAACACCTTTAAGGCTTTTGTTCAAGTATTACTTTCTGAATGAAGCTTTCTCCACTTTATTTAAATTGTAACCCTACCCCCTTCCAGCTTGCTCAATCCCTCTTCCCCTGCTCTTTTTTCCTTAATGCCTATTGTGTTCTACAATTATTTATTTACTTACTTACTTAGAGTCACCCAGGCTAGAGTGCAGTGGTGAGATCACAGCTCACTACAGCCTTGGCCTCCTGGGCTCGGGTGATCTTTCCACCTCAGCCTCCCAAGTAGCTGGGACTACAGGCACATGCCACTATGCCCAGCTAATTTCTTCTCCCCTATTTTTAACTTTTGTCTTGCTATGTTTCTCAGGCTGGTCTGGAACTCCTGGACTCAAGCAATCCTTCTGCCTCAGCCTCCCATAGTGCTTGGATTACAGGCGTGAGCCACCATACCTAGCTAGTAATTTACTTATTTATTATGGTGATTGTCTCTCCTCACCAGAAGGTAAGTTCTTCAAGGACAGAAATCTTTGGATCACTGTTATATCCAAAACATCTCCAAAAGGGTCTAGCACATAGCAGGCGCCTAATACATATTTCTTGAATGCCAACCTCGCTGCCTAGACCAGAGGTGTGCTCATATGCCTAGAGATAAGCATGTTACCCAGATGTAACAGGTCCATGTGCGCCCTTGACCTCACACACCAATGACCACCAACAGTTCCTCCTGAAACACCTTCTCTGAGGTATTTTGCCCTGTCTGGTCCCTTCTCCTGATGCTTTAAATTTATATATTTCTTCCTTCTTTCCTTTTTTTTTTTTTTTGAGTTGGAGTCTCACTCTGTCACCCAGGCTGGAGGGCAGTGGCACACTCCCGCCACCGCAGCCTTGCCCTACTGGGCTCCGGCGATCCTTCCACTTCAGCCTTCCAAGTAGCCGGAACTACGGGCGCACTACCATGCCCAGCTAATTTTTTTTTTTTTTTTGAGGTGGAGTCTCACTCTGTCACCCAGACTGGAGTGCAGTGGCTGCTCCCTGCCACTGCAGCCTCGACCTGCTGGGCTCTGGTGATCCTTCCGCCTCAGCCTTCCAAGTAGCTGGAACTACAGGCATACGCCACCATGCCCAGCTAATTTTTTTTTTTTTTAATTTATTGTAGAGATGAGGTCTCGCCAAGTTGCCCAGGTGAGTCTCAAACTCGCGGACTCAGGCAATTCACTCACCTCAGCCTCCCAAAGCGCGGGATTACAGGTTGAGCCACCGAGCCCGGCCCCTTCGTTTTTTTTTTTTTCAGTCTCATTCTGTCACCCAAGCTAGAGTGCAGTGGCACCATCAAAGGTCATCACAGCCTTGACCTCCTGGGCTCAGGTATGATCCTTCCGCCTCAGTCACAGAGGAGCTGGGACTACAGGCTATACCAACACACTTGGCTTTCTGATTTTTTGTGGAGATGAGGTCTTGCTATGTTGCCCGGACTGGTCTTTAACTCCTGGCCTTAAGCAATCCTTCTACCTAGGTCTCCCAAAGTGCTGGGATTACAGGTATGAGCCACTGCACCCAGCCTTGGAGTTCCTTCTTCAGAAATATATCTGCTCTCCTGAATTCAGCTGTACCCTTTCCAGATGACCAAACTGCTCCATCTTTAATCTTGGATCTTTGCTGAGCTCTGTGCCCACCTACTCCAACCCTGATCTCCAAGAACCCCAAACCACTCCTCACTGGGGACCCAGAGGGAGCCAGTCAGATCACCTCAAATATTCTAAGATGGCTGGGCTCAGTGGCTCAGCCTGTAATCCCATGCCTTTGGGAGGCTGAGGTGAGTGGATTGTCTGAGACCGCGGGTTCGAGACCCGCCTGGGCAGCGAGACCTCATCTCTACAATAAATCAAAAAATCAGCCAGGCGTGGTAGCGCGCGCCTGTAGTTCCGGTTACTG